CCTGTTTGATCAGACAAGTTGTACTGGAAGGAGACAACGTCATTTCACAGTGCAACCTCTCAGAAAATTTTTCCTCGAGGAAAACACGTTCTCTGTGATGCTCAGAGGGGACTCCCAAGGATGCTTCTATTTTGGGAGGGGAGAAGTGTCATGCCATGTTTCACAATCTGAGGAAGGTTTTCTTAGGGTGACAGGACAGAGGGAGACCACTCAACAGCCTGATCCCAAACAAAGAAACATTACTGCAACAGCTGGATGAAGCACAGGACCCCAGATACTGCCCCACACCTAACAGACTCCTATAATGCCTCAGTTATATATTTGTGTGCTACCTACCAGATCCGACCCTTGCCTCAAGCTACTTTCCCTTGACACATCAATATCTCCCCCATGTTTTACAAGGCTGCTTCTCTTCCAGCTCATCAGCCCAGTGCTCTTTTTTCATTCATGGGTTGGGAGTTTTATTAACTGACCACTTCTCCTGCTCAGACATTGCAATCCTCACTCACAATTCAAGTTCACTGCTGTAATGCCTCAAGGCTTTGCATGGTGTCTGTGCAGGCTCAACAGGCAGATGTTAGATCATCCTTCACAGCTAAAAATATTCAAGTACAACATGCACATAGAATTTAAGGTGCTTAAGACTAACACAAACAGTTCTCGGGCAGGTGATGCACTTAGTCATGGGAAACTGTCCAGATATAACACACAAAGGAGGGGAACTTTATTGTTTAAACGAATGAAAATCTAACATAATTTTAAAGAGTATTAAAGAAAGTAAAGAAAAGCTAATGTGAAATATAGGACTTGATCACTAAATCTGGCCTACCTGTACCCATGGTTGGGCCTGAGAGGAGGCAGAGATGTTTTCCATCTACAGTCTTGTCATAGACCATTTGATTTTCTTGAAAAAGGTCATAAGGCTATTTTTTTTTCCTGGTTTGAACTGGATTAGAAGAGTTGTCCTAACAGCTTGGGCCTGTTGCATTACACTGCTACTGCAGCCACAACTTTTCCCAGTTACTCCCACCTCTGATACACCCCTCAGCACTCGAATTTAAATTTTAGACACAGCTGAACAGTTTAAATCAAGAAATGCAGCTCTACAAAGGCACAGAAAGCCTCCGATGCGCTTGTTGCACACCTTTCTCAATACACCAGATGGATTCTTTTCCTGAACACTTCTCTCCTGTGCATCCCCGTCTCCTCTTTGACACCACAGTTCTGCTTTCAGGGGGTGATGCCCATACAAAAATAGGTCCTTTAGGACAGAGAGTGAAAAGTGCTATCCCGAGGCTACACAGTTCCTGTAGGACGCTGAGCTGTAGCAGCGAGTGCTAGCAGAGTCACCCCTTGTAGGATCCTTGGTGCTGTCTCCTGACCATTTAACCCATTCCCTACCTCAGCACATTTCACCCCTTGACATTTTCCCTGTTTGTAAACTTCCCTGGGAACCAGGGAACTAGCAGAGACTACAAACATCGTACTATATTCCTTCAGTCTGGTGGACTCTAGATGTGACTTAAAGTTCTTGGTTTCATTTTATGTATAGAAGCCAGGTCTTTATTTGCTCGTGTAGATCTACCTACAGTTACGCCAGCAAGGAACACAGCCAATCAATCTTATACTGTATACAAGTCGGGCACTTGAAATGAACAGAAAAGCCTTCCAGTTAAATGGGAAACTCTTTTTTGCATATTTTCAAGGTTACACTCCCACATCATCTCCACAGACTTTGTAAAATTCCCTTCTCATTGTTAGTGTTTAGAAGAAGAAAATGGGACTGTATTCTAAACTTAAATATTGAAGAACAGATGCTTTCCTAATTAATCTACAGGATTTATAAAGTTTGAGTTTGGTACATTGCTACCTCAATTAAAATATAAAGGGTCTCTTCCCATACGCTGCTCTTTTAGAAGGACCAAGCACCACATCCTATTTATCTTCCTGTGCAGCACCGCTATAGGAAGTCCCACAGATATCAGCTGTAAAAATGCCATTCATTCCCACACGGTTAACATAAGTCAGTGAAGATCACAGATTCACTAACTGAGTTTGTAAGATGTTCTGAACATGCTTTCAGAGAGACATACTGATGTATTTTAGCACTCCAGCATCTGGGGTGACTTTATCAAAAATTAAAAGGACTCTACCTGTTCCAAGTTTGTTACTCTATATAAATGCTAACAGAAGTTAACTAAGTCACCTTTGCCAATTTCATTACCCTTCTAATCACGCTTGAGTGCTATTCAAAATTTTGAGCGGAGCAGGTTCACTACTGAAAATAGAGACACGCATATATAAGCAAATTAATTACTTGAAATCAATATGTTGTAATACTTACGGCTGTGCCCTTAATTTTTTAGAAATAATCACATACTGAAAATCCATGACAATACTTATGAACTTCAGAATTTTAGCAATTTTGTACCAAAATTGTGGTGGTTTTCTCATTTTTCTGTTAAAGTGTTTCAGTGATCCAGTCAGAGAGCAGAAGCAATGTGATCATCACATGCCAGGAATTATGAATAACAAACAGCAGTGGTAGCATACAGTTTGTGAACCATCCTTCCTGTAAAAATTCTTCACTCAAACTATTTGGTGAAGACTTATGCATGATAAATACATTCACAGATCTCCAGGATGATTCACTTTTGACATGTGAATAAAGAAACAAGACTAAATTAATCTTGTTCCCAATTCACTTAATAAAATTAATCTCCGCCAAAGTACTTCAGTTTGATTTATAAAGCTTTTAGGGTATAACGTTTTGTGAGACAGTCAGCTGAGATACTACCTCTTTCCTCCTGCAGTGCCACAGAGGAGATAGATAGATACTGCCTGGCTTGCTGGAACAGACCGATACTACAGCTCATCATTTTTAGTGAAGGTATTTTCATGGACAGGTCCAGTAAAGGAGCATGCATTTTCCCACATAGTCTGGTGGAGTTTGGAGCCTGTTTACTTAACCAAATTCTCATGTCAGGATAGAGAGCAAGAGTTGGCATTAGTTTGTTCTGGAATCTTTTTTCCTTTTATTAATCTATGGAAGTCTTTAAAAATTATATATGTAAATCCTGTCCTTGGGAAATATAACTCAATGCCCTTAATAAACTAACACGCAATCAAATGAATGCACTGATGTTGCAGACTCTGCTAATGACACTAATTTCCATTTGGGCATCCTTACTCTATGCTCATAACGACATAATAAGCTCAGGTCTCAATTTCAAAAAAGTTGACATGAAATGAAACTACTGTGTAGGCTATTGAACCTGCACAAATAGTTCTGCTCACAGAAGATACATGGTTGACTTTCATGCTGTTCAAAATAAACAAATTTCTTATCTGACCTGGAATAATGGGATTCTTATGGTAGTAAATATTATATTTGGCATATATTTGTAGGATGATGACTTGAAGTACTGTATTTATAGTTGGTAGCATTCCTTACACTTGTATATTTTCCTACAAAGTTTGTGACCTATATCTTTGAACAGCTTAATGAAGTAAACCCAAACAGAAAGAGAAAAGTCAACGAAAATATTACTTTTCTAATGTTTTCTGAAAGAGAAGACCAAGTATCAAAATGGCTGAGGTGGCAGATGAAAATTAATTTAGACAGTTTGTGTTTGTTCACCCTGAAATAACAGTCCAAGCCTTATAAAAGCACACCCAGATGACTGATGTCTTCCTTCATATATGTATCTTAAGGTCAATACCGCTGGGAACAAATTATAAGAAATTCTGCCAAGAGCTTATCCCACAACAAACTGTCTGAAATAGCCTATAAATAAAAGATCTGTGAAAGGATTCATAGATACATAGCAAAGATTGTTATATACCTGAAAAAAAACAGTAATGGAAAAGTAGCTATTTCTTAGAGCTAAAATGGAAGATGTGGGTATCAGAAACCTGGAGGTCCCCCACATTTTGGTGACCCCTGATAAAAAACAGCTGACGTGACCGTAGGTTGTTTTTAAGGTGAAGAACACAGTGTTTAGGGTGAGAGGCCACCTCAGGGCCCTGTGCACAGCCCCCCGCTGGCCTCATCCCCCTGTGGCCATGGGGAAGGGCTCCACAGACGCCCAACACCCTGGCCAGGGCTGTGGAATGGGCGCTGGCTGGGATGCCCTGCCACACTGGGGAACTCCCAGTGCTTCAGCAGCTGGAAACAGCTGGGCAGGTGGGTCAGGACCAACCACTACGCGTGCCTGGCACTATCACAGCCCTGTGCATGGAAGTTTGGCCATCCAAATCCCAGCAAGCACATACATATTAAGCACCTGGGGAAAGTGCAGTTAACATTTCATTTGTTCGCTGTAAGAAAATAAATTGTTATGTTTGTGCCACTAAGCACAAAAGCTATTTATAGCTGTTCTAAGGCAGTGGCTGAACTGATTAGGTCAAGCAACAACATGCAATTAAAAATCTTAGAAATAATAATTTCTCTCTACTCAGCCGGTTTATGCAGGTGTGAGAACTGCCCTCTCAATACTTCTCTCATTGTACCTAGCAGCTTTCCAGCCTTTTCAATTTAGGATATTTACAAGTTCTCATACCATTAAACCACTAAGTATACTTAGTCTGTTGCAATAAACTATAAGGCAACTGCATTTGCTGAAGTACAGCACCTCATTTAGCAATGTTGCTGCAATACCTTCTAAGTCTTCTTTAAGACTTCATCCATTTAGTAACAATTTATTAATACAGAGTTTTAGAGAACTTGTCAAACCATTATGGAAAGAACAAACTCTCTGCTTGTACCAATGAGAAAATCTCTGTTGAAGTCAACGGATCTGGCCCTTATTACACAGAAAATGGGATTTCTAAACTGTATGTTTTCAAGCATTGTTGAAAGAACTCTGAAATAAATTTGAGGGTGAGGGTTGCAGTACGAATCCATCTGGAAAAAACACAAATCGCATGCCATGTGACTAAGTCCAAATATTCACATTTTTAGAGACCAATGTTCACTTTTAGTTAGTTCTTTTACTTACTGCTTTATACGTTCTCTTTTGTCCAGCATGTTTTCTGATTTGTTCTCCATTAGGCCCAGTTTCAACATGCATGGAATAGATAATGTCAAAGAAATCTTCTACGACGGCTACCCGCCGTAAAGACAGCTTCTCATCTACACCTACTCCATCCTGAAAAGAAAAAAAAAAAAAAAAGAGAAAAGAAGAAGTAAGGACGATGGGATGAATAGATAAATTATGATAATAATGGAACACATTCTCCTTTTTTAGCAGGGAGTTAAAGACCCTTCTACTGAGATCTGAAGGTCACCCACCCCGTGAATGACAGACATGGTATTGCAGGAAAGCTGTGTGATCAGAAGGACCATATGGACCCTTGTAAGCAGTCCATTTTGACAAGCCAGGGCATTTGGTCTCTTGATAGAAAGTGATCTTTCACTCCAGTATTTAAAAAACAAAACAAAAAGTATCTGTGCTTCTTTCTCCAAATGCACAAAGAAGATTCAAAGGCAGAAGCAGTCCCAAAGACATGGCACAGAAATGCATTGTGTGGCTGTTAGTAAGAATGCAACAGCTCTTTTATCCGCTCATTCCCCTCCCAGTAAATCTGTACCTAGCATTTCATAAAGGTATTTAATAAAAGGGTTTAATTCACAGGTGACAGACCTGACTCTAATTATGAATCCAAAGGAAGTCGTTGCAAACAATTTACCCCTGTGAAACCTGCTTGAAAATTTACTACATGAAGACACATCACAATATGAGGAAAAGAAAGGGATGTTTTTAAAATTTGTGATTTTTGCACACAGATGTCTGGTTGGAACAAGTGACAGAGAAGTGAGGACACCTACCATCTGATTTTCAAAAATGATAGTGCCGTGGTAGCTAAAGACTTCTAAACAGAAAGAGTCCCCAATGTCTCTGAAATTAATCAGTGCAGTTCAGCGACCGCCTTTTATACAGAACCATCCATATGAGGGTTTGGTTTTTTTGTTTCACAGCTGTCTATGGATTCAAGTCTAATGAAGGGGCAGTTTTTCCAGAGCAGGTATCTATCAAGCAGGCCATGTTTGGCAATACAACAGAAGTATATGAAGAATAAAACAAGAATGGCCAATTTACTTGTACTCCAACACAGTTATTTGAATTCAGACCTCTGGAGGCAGCAGTGTCACCTAACCTTCAATGTGTATTTTAAGCAATAAGGATGCTCCAAACTTAGCACATTTGATAATACCACTACTGCTGCTGTAATTCATGCCACAACAAAACTTATTTACATTGACCCTTTCGTGACAAAACACGTTCAATTATTGCTGCAGTGACCAAATAAAGATGAAAGATGAGAAATGAAAAGGCAATAATGATGTATGACTTCCAGTTGCCATCCCTCTGCTCATAACTTCTTGCTAACCCATTCCAGTAATTTTGCTGGATGTGGACAAGCATGAGTTATTTTTCTCACTGCCCCTATTTTTATTCCAGCCCACTTACTTTTTTTTTTTTTCACAGTGTTCATGGAAAGAACCCAAATAATCCCAACAGCTCCAAAGAACCCCCCAGGGTGACACAGAGGAGCTCTGACACATTCCCAGCAGTGATGGAGAAAATGTCAGAGCCTTTATAGCATAATTTTCTAAATGTGCATGACTCCAAATTATATTGGGTTAGGAGGTGTTGATACACCACCAGCCAGACAAGTTTTGTCCTGTCCTGCTCCAGTACACCCAACTTTCTTCAGCGAGGTCCCTGCCCAAAGCTACGTGGTCCCTTCCCTCTGCACAGCAGGTTGTGCTTTTTACCCCCAGGAGACAGCTGGACCAGAGCAGAACTCCTGCACATGCATGATGAGAGGACTGCCATAGTCCTGATGGAAGTGACTGTGTCCAGGATTCAGGAAGATAAGGAATTTGCAGTGCACTCTCCTCCACAGGTTAAAGTCTCAGAGAGATCAGGTGGGAGGAGGTGCTCTGAGAAGGCAACGAGGCTCTCATCCCATGAACAGTCCCTAAAATTCACTAACCATCAGCTCAAAAACTTTGTGGCATTGTGACAGGTTCTGGTATCAGCATCATTAAGAATTTGCTTGGTATTGCCCACCACTATTGCACACTATTAAAAACAAAATGCTTTAGAGATGGGACCAACATCAAATCCAGATCTTTGCAGCTTTAATCTTTGGGGGAATTCACACATGAGCTCTATAGGGGAGCCCATCTTCAATCATTATTTTCTCACTGTCCAAACAGCACAGCGGGATCCCTAATGATTTCAAACACTCTCATTATGACGACAGTGTTACCTCACACCGCTCTCCGAACACTCAGAAGTTTATAGTGTTGATTAACTGATAAAGATTTAATCTGTTTATTACTAATGAGTTTTGTTTTAGGAAATTTCCTATGGGGGACCTCTCTTTTTTAATTAAAAAGAAATGCATTACAACAATATTAATTTAAAACCGGAGATACCATCTCAGCAGAGCTAACACTTGCAAACATTAGGAAGACATTCAAAGAAGAAACTCAAAAGCAAAACTCATTTTGCTGCTTTTGGTGGCTCTACTGTGCAGAGCTCTTTTTTGATGGTCCTCCTACCTCCCTCACCAGACACTGACTGATACCCAAAGGTAGGTAGGCATGATGTGGGTGTGCTCTTGAAGCTGCATTTCTCCATCCAGCTGAATAAAACTGCAAGCATCGCTACTCCTTCTAAAATTACAAACTCTATGTCATGCCTCCTAATTCGAGTGCCAGAAATTAATTCAAACTCTCCAAATCTTGTCAGTCAAAAAGCGTAGGAAAAAACAATTTACACAGAGTGGAATCTGCTTTGGGAAAAGACAATGCTATTATTTAACAACTATACTTCATCATAACTTCATCTGGTGGAGCCTGGACATGACTAGGTCAGGCTTCATTCTCCTTGGTGCTGTCAAGCAGTAAGGTAGAGCTTGCTTCAGAAAGCCCGCAGCGCTGCAGGAGGTGCTGAGCTGCTGTGAGTAAGCTGTTCAGTCCCCCTGGCAACATGCAATGCTTTGCAGAGATGTAAGCTTTAGCTGCAGAAGCAATACACCAGATGAGTAACTTGACTAAGGTAGCTGCTTACTGACACTTTTGATAGCCCACTACTGACATCCCAATAAGTAAAAAGCTGGGCAAATGCTACAGCCTCAAATCTTCCTTTAAACTGTGAAGTCTCTGAAGTGGACACAGTTGTATCAGGCTTTCCTGCCATATGCCATTACACTACACTTTTATCTTAAACTTGCTGTTTGATAAAGGCATTAACAAAGCAGCTCTACTTTATAAGCTGGCTTTAGGTAAAAAATTTCACAGTGCCTAAGGGGACATTTTTTTTAGCCTCAACTAAGGCTAAAAAGAGACAAATGAGGGAATAGATGATAATGCTATTCAGATGTCTGAAAGGCTATGAAATGTCCACCAGGGACAGGGAAAGTAATAGGCTTAAACCACAGCACGGGAGATTTACATTAGACTCTAGGAAAAACTTACTATTCATGTGGATAGTCAAGTACAGTAATAGTTTGCCTGGGGAGGCTGTGGGATGTCTGTCACAGGAGGATTTTGAGACCAGGTTAGACAAATATCTGTCAGGGATAGTTTGAGTAAATCCTGTCTCGGACAGACTAGATATTAATTTAATTCCTTCTTGATAACTCTATGACTGAGAAGCTAAATGACACTTTCAAAGTTATTTGGGTACTAACAATTCGGGAATAGCACAGAGGATATTTATAAATCACTGAGGTATTTTTAGGACTTTCATTCGTCATGGCAAGCGTCCAAGCCCTACTTTCAAAAATGACTTAGAAATGGAAGCCTCACTGAATGTTTCACTTCAAAAATTGGACTTACACTCTTAAATCTTTTAGGCTGAGCTTCATCCCACTTGTTCCAGCCGTCACAGAGGTATGCCCCTGTCCTAAACCAGTTGTCTCAGATTCGTCTCTAGCCAACAGTGTGACAGGCACTGCCATGATACAATTCATCCTTATAGCTGCTGGAATGGTTTCAATCTCTACCGATGAGAAATCAGTGTTTCCTGTTTACTCTCGGGTTTATGTTTATTCAGTGGTCTCCCTGTGTTCTTAGGATACAAACAAATTGATCCTTCTTTTCACTTTCAGCCCTACAAATTCCATTTGCGCTCTGAGATTAAAGTTGTTTGTTTGTCTGTTTTTAGGTATCTACATGAAGAACACATTTCTGGACACAAGTGACTTTTTACAGAGAGTTCTGTACCTCTCGGGAAGTGCTAAGGATCCCTTTGAACAAGGATGCTTGAGGAGTCAGTCTCTCTTGTTGAGGTGGAACCTACAGGGCTCGTGGGAGTAAAGAAGGGGAAAAAAAATGCCAGTGAAGTGAACTGACAAAACTCCTAGTCAAGACAGCAAAAATATCTATTAAATGAAAGGCTCTAATTTTCATAGTTACTTTGCAGAGGAGAAAAAAAAAAATTAATACAAGCCTTTAAAATCAAAGCCACTGAAACAAAAGTGTTTGCAATTTCTTGCTTGAGAATACCTGCACCATCTCATGTTGAAGCTTCTTGGGGGAAATAGGTCTCATAAAACACCCTCTTGATCCATGAATGAACATAACTATCAGCTTTTTACAGTGTTTGAAAAATATTCCTATAAACACATGATAGACTGAAATGGAAAATAAAAGTAAAGGCTTGGGTGGTGGTTTTATAGAAAATGTTCAGTCTATAAAAAACTCTGTTATAAAACCATCAAAGCCAGAAGCATCTACAAAACATTAGCAGTAGATGGAAATCACAATCAACCTAAATATTTCATTACACAACATAAATCACATACAAATGCAAGACTGCTTTGAATGCAGAAATACGATGCGTAACATTTTTCTGATACAATGAGTTCAGATGACAGCAGAGCTAAAGCACAGTTGTGTCAGCACACCTCTGCTGACTAGCATCACCCTTTGCAGTCTTGAAGATGCGTTTCCCCCAAATGGGAAGCAAAGGCTTTTGCTGACTAAAACATTGTGCTCTGAATGAACTCTATCCTCACTAAAAGTTTTGCACATAAATCCCCGCCTTGTTAGTGTGTATATGTAATGAGCTCCTGCCATGATTGTATGTAGGTATTTTACTCCCTTTGGATTCAACACTGGAAAATTTTG